GAGGCTGAGGAAAGAAGATCACTTGAACTCAGGAGGCGGAGGTTTGCAGTGAGCTGAGATCACGCCACTACACTGCCTAGGTGACAGAGAGACTCCGTCTCAATTTAAAAAAAAAAAAAGGCCTTGTGCGGTGGCTCAAAACGCCTGTAATCCGAGCACTTTGGGAGGCCGAAGCGGTCGGCTCACGAGGTCACGAGAGCGAGACCATCCTGGTAAAAATGGTGAAACCCCGCCTCTACTAAAAATCCAAAAATTAGCTGGGCATGGTGGCAAGCGCCTATAGTCCCAGCTACTCGGGAGGCTGAGGCAGGAGAATTGCTTGAACCTGGGAGGCAGAGGTTACGGTGAGCCGAGGTTGCACCATGACACTCCAGCCTGGGCAACAAGAGCGAAACTCCGTCTCAAACAAATAAACAAATTGGCCAGGCGTGATGGCTCACGCCTGTAATCCCAGCACTTTGGGAGGCCGAGGTGGGTGGACCACCTGAGGCTGGGAGTTCAAGAGGTCCTGGCCAAAATAGTGAAACCCCCATCTCCACTAAAAATATAAAAAATTGGTCGGGCGTGGTGGTGCGCGCCTGTAATTCTAGCTACTCAGGAGGCTGAGGCAAGAGAATCGCTTAACCCAGGAGGCAGAGGTTGCAGTGAGCTGAGATTGTGCCATTGCACTCCAGCCTGGGCAACAGAGCAAGACTCCGTCTCAAAATAAATAAATAAAAATAAACCTTAAAATAGCAGGCTCCGTGTGGTGGCTTACACCTGTAATCCTAGCACTTTGGGAGACATACGTGGGAGACTGTTTGAGTCCAGGAATTCAAAGCCAGCTTGGGCAACATAGTGAGACTCCATCTCTACAACAAAATTAATTTAAACCGGTGTGGTGGCACATGCCTGTAGCCATGGCTATTCAGGAGGCTGAGGTGGGAGGATTTCTTGAGCCCAGCAGGTAGAGGCTGCAGTGAGCTGTGATCACACCACTGTACTCCAGCCTGGGCAACAGAAATAGGAGAACAAACTAAAGGATAAAACAAGTAAAACTGCGAAAATTTAAATAGGAAACTATAGGTAATTCACACAACTCTTTTGACAATAACAACAACAACAAATTGTAAGAAGAAGTGGAAGCCACGTACAGTGGCATGTGCCTGTAATCCCAGCTACTCAGGAGGCTGAGGCAGGAGGATTGCTTGAGCCTAGGAGTTCAAGCCCAGCCTGTGCAACATAGTTAGACTCTGTCTCCATAAAATAAATAAATAAAAACAGATGCGATAACTTGCAGATTAAAGAAAAATTTAAGGCACATTTTAATTTATCAAAGATCTCGTTTGGATGTTAATTCAAACAGATTGCTAAAAAAAAGAAAAGAGATTCTACTCAGGAAAAAAAAAAATGAAAAGAGAAAAATATATAAGATAATTGGAGGGTTTTTTTTTTTTGAGACGGAGTCTTGCTTTGTTGCCCAGGCTGGAGTGCAGGAGCATGAACTTGGCTCATTGCAACCTCTACCTCCTGGGTTCAAGCAATTTTCCTGCCTCAGCCCTCACCAATAGCTGGGATTACACGCATCCACTACCACATCCGACTAATTTTTGTATTTTCAGTACAGAGGAGGTTTTGCCATGTTGGCCAGGCTGGTCTCAAACTCCTGGCCTCTGGTGACCCAACCGCCTCGGCCCCCCAAAGTTCTGGGATTACAGGCATGAAATGGCCAGAAAATTGGAGCTTTGAATATTGCTGGATATTTGAACATACATTTAAGTATTTTGAAAATATTAAATAATTATTTTTAATTATGTTTAGATGCAAAAAGGATATTGTAGTTATAGTAGGAACAAAGTGTTTTTCACCCCTCTGGATTTATTTGTTTATTTGTTGAGACAGCGTCGCTGCAGCCTGGGGCTCCTGGGCGAAAGGGATCCTCTGACCTCAGCCCCCTGAGTAGATAGGACCACAGGCGTGCCCCACCACACCCACGCGCCCGGTTATTTTATTTTTTGTTTTTTGGTAACAATGAGCACTCACTCTGTTGCCCATGCTGGTTTCACACTCTTGGGCTCAAGTGTTCCTCCCCCCTCGGCCTCCTGAAGTGCTGGGATTACAGGCACGAGCCAAGGCACCCGGCCTTTCCCCTGAATTTATGAATGAAATCATAGGAGATCTGGTATTTGATTCAAAGTAACCCAGAGAGGAGGAATGAATGGCAATTTCGCTGGAACCAGACTGCACATGTTTGAGCTTTCCGTAATAAAACATTCTCAAAAAGCTGGGCAAAAAAACCTAGGAAAACAAATAAGATGACTATCTTGTAAAAAAAAAAAAAAGCAACGAAGAAAAGAAAATATGGTAAGGAAATGGCCTTCCCTCTTGAAATCCTGTCCCCTACCTAGGGCTTGAGGATCAACTCAGGCCATTAGGTCAGCTTTTCTCTAAATTGCCGGTTGAAAGCCCCAGAGGCCACACCCGAGCGGGTAGGTGGGGTGCTTTAATAGCTGCGTTTTAGAGGGCTGCATTCAGTTTCCATCCTGGAAGGGAGGAACCGAATTCCAACCATTGTCTGCCGTTGACTGCCTGTCTCCAAAGCCCGTCGGTTATATCCTGATGTAGCTAATGCTTCTACACTTCAAGAGCTTGAAGAATTATCCGGAGGGCTGGGCGTGGCGGCGCAGGCCTCGTGTAGTCCCACCTACTGCGAAGGCTGCGGAGGGAGATCCCTTGAGTCCGTGAGCTCAGCCAAGAATTCAAGACCAGCCTAGGCAACACAGTGAGACCCCCACCCCTGTCCCATCCGCCCCTCCAATCCTCGTCCGCCCCAGGTCTCATCCCCCCCAAAATTTTAGATATTAGCCGGGCGTGGTGGCGCGGGGCTGTAATCCCAAC